GGCGTAGGGAAAATAATGCTATCTTACCAACTGGTGGATCAATTTATCGGTGGGTAATTGTTTTCCAATTGTTATATATTTATATGAGTCGTGTTTTAACAAATAAAAACATTACAGTGGGAATACATTGAAAATTCCTGCAATTCGAAAAGAAGATCGTGGAACATATTATTGTGTTGCTGAGAATGGAGTAGGAAGTGGAGCTAGGCGTAATATTAATGTTGAAGTTGAATTTGCACCTGTGATCACAGCACCTAGACCAAGACTTGGTCAAGCCTTACAATATGACATGGATTTAGAATGTCATGTAGAAGCTTATCCTCCACCAGCAATTGTTTGGCTGAAGGATGATTTTCAATTGTCTAATAATCAGCATTATAGCATCTCACACTTTGCAACTGCAGATCAATATACAGATACAACAATTAGAGTGATAACAATTGAAAAAAGACAATATGGAGAATATACATGCAGAGCAGCTAATAAATTGGGAACTGCAGAAACAAAAGTTGAATTGTTTGGTATGTATTCTGAATACATTGGTATGTATTCAGATTCGGTAATATAAATTATGTATTAAATGTACTTGTAATATTAGTTATACGAAGTGATAGAATTGATAAATAGGTATGCATTTATGGATGGGGCATGATAATGTAACGATCTTTATTTGTTACTCTAATGTCATTTTACGTAAAGTTTATTCCGTTATTTTCATGTATGATTAGCGCCCAGTTTATTTTCAATCCATTCATTTTTGAGTTCAGTAGTTAGCATGTTCTAGATTTTGTTTTCTTTTTTTGCGCAGAAACAACTGTCCCTGTGTGTCCACCAGCTTGTGGCCAAGCCCTTTATTATGGGGTTGGAGTAGTGCCAGTTTCTTCAGGACTTATGATAGTCTTAGTTTTATTTATTACAGTTGTTATGAGGTATGTTATTTGAAGAATATTTTTTTTTTATTTTGTATGTAAATTTTTGAGATTCCTGTATTCCGTAAACCGACCTCATTTCGTTCCTAAATAAATCTCATAATTTGCAGAAATTTCTACACCAAATATTAATTATCCGGGACTTCAGTGGGCAGCAGCAGATCGGTGCAGCTTATCTTCATGGTTGCTGATAGTACTGTGGTTCACCATTCTTAATAGATATTAAAAACATCATTAATAACATTAGGGGCCTGATTTGTTTTTAACTTTTACTAGATGATTATTTTTGTAGTTATTTACAAACGAAATTGAATTAATAATAGCGAATAGAATGCAATTATTAGGGGCCAGCAATATACTAAATGTTGGCAAGGTACAAACTAACATTTCAGAAAAGAACATAGTGATACATAGTGAAAAAAAAAAAAGAAGTAATAATATTACCAATAGTTTGAGATATATATGTATATTATATAGTCTTTTTTCATATATGTCAGTGCAACTGATAAACGTGAAGAAGTGATTGATAATAATGTTACGAATATATATATCAATGCAACCTTTAACATAGTTTTTAGTAGAAGCTCAAGATTACATTGATGCAACTTAAATACTTGTTAATGATCTATTTAGAAAAGTTCGAAATAACAATACTTTATAACTGCCTTGTTATATAATGTTTGGCGAATGAGAAGAGAAAGAACAAGAGAAAAAAAAAAAAAAAGAAGAAATTGATATACATGTTAGTACCTTGATCGTGATGCAAAGCATATAATTTGTTTTTAGAGAGCTAGATTAACGATTGTATATTATAGACGAAATAATTTATATGATCGCGTCTAGGGTATTTTATATTGTGTGTTATATCAAGCGCATAGACTGCACACTCATAACAGGGATCTTGATTTGTCTCTTTTGGACAAACTAACAGTATCATAAGTGCAGAGAAACTTCGAATCTCAAATAAGTAAGATTTTTTATGACCTTTTTACGAGTTTGCAATTTTATATTTACTTCTAGACTAATATGAATTTTAATAAATGAAAATTCCGTCAAATAACCGTCAATTTATCATTCAATTTCCTATTATTCAAATTTATGTAGGACGAAATAATTAAATGTGCTTGATTATCATCATAACAAAACTCGCCAGTTTATTCATCAAATTTAATTACCTAATTCTTTTTTACATTTTGAACACCGCTTTGCTGATATGTCCACGTTTCAGGCTGTCCAAAGCTTCACGATATTGAGACAACGAGAATACTTTAATACCTAACTTCTCGTAATTCAGATATCGTTCGGCCATTGCACGTAACAAACCCAGTCCTTTGGGGAACGTGAACGGATTTATGTTTACACCGATGATTTTCAACTCCTTCATGTAAATCTGTCGGGGAAAGTGATTAAAATTAACAGCTATCTACAGACCTGACCATTCTCAACGCCAACTATTTTTAACGGAAGAACAATGACGCAGGGAACTTGGAAACGTGATGATACGGTCGCGAGCGACTTACCTGGAACGGTTCGATACAGAATTTCGCTTTAGGATTAGCGATACCGAACACGCATAAGCGGCCACCTCGTCCCAACAAAGGTATAGCTGCCTCCATGGCTGGACCTGAGCCACTGCAGTCTATGGCCACGTCGAACCCTTCCTTCAATTGATCTGGAGCTTTTATTTCGTAATCCAAATCTGAAAAATTGAAATTGTTACGAGTCGTGATTAAACTTCTTCGAATGGTGTTACAATACTGCAGAGATCTTTATCAACTTTAACAGTATAGCAACGAAAATACATATATCAGTTTACTGAAAAAAAAAAAAAAGTAAGAGAATGACCGTGAAAAGAACTGTTATACTTTGAACTGACTAATTTCCTGCTCAAACATTTTTCCGTCTCCTCGAAAGTTTAGTTAAAATCTGGTACCTCGTCATTTTTATAAACAGTCCTAATAATAATCTAACACTTGTCGAACATTTACAAACATTTTTAATTGTAAAAAAAGATAGAAAAAAAGCAGAAGAAATAGAGAATCTAAGGGTAGGCATTTTCTGAATGTTCAATTAAGGACAACTTGAGAGTTGAATTATCATTACCAAGATTTGACAGTAATTTTCGTCGTGGTTCCTGCGGCTCGCTGACCGTCACGGTTTTCCTGAGACCGTGCAGGTGCAGCAAGCAGGCCCACAAAATACCGATTATCCCGGCTCCAGTTATAAGCACGTTGCTACCAACAGGAACACCATCGAGTATGTCCCATCCGTGTGCCAAACACGAGAGTGGCTCGGTGAGAGCAGCTTGCTCCAGATCCACATCGTCAGGTATCAGGTGAACCTGGAAATATGGAAGAAAATAAAAGTACAAAAATAAATCACCTCCGTGAAAGATAGACGAAGAAAAGTTCGTTGTTATTTTCACATTATTCTTCTTTATTTTTATTTATCTTCAATTATTATTACCAATAATTGTAATTAATTACTTATTATTATTAATCCATTTTTATTTACGTATAGACGCGCATTTTCCACGAAATTACGCGTGCGTTAAAATAGACGACCAAGTGTTATCCCGTCAGATTTAGCCGAGCCTCGACAAAAGGGTGCACTTCGTCCCTTTGAGACTCTGGTGAACTCCGTGAACTTGGTAAAATAACTTTTTTTCAACGTATTTTTAAACTAGATTACGCGCGAAAGGGTGTAATTTCATGGGACTTGGATGAACAAGCCAGGATAAAATTTTAAAAAGAAGAAGATATTTATGGAGAGCTGTGTACACCGCACACGTCGGTAGAACGATGGAAAATACGAACGAACCTGACTTTCCGGGACGATCGCGTGCGTGGCGAAACCGCCGTCTTTGTAGATCCCTATCGTGCTGTTTATACCACCGGCGCTACAAAACTGATAAGTCCCGCTGTGACAGAAGTTGCACGTGTTGCAACCGCTGTTAGGATCGACAGCCACCTTTTCGCCGACTTTTACAGTCTTCACCGATGTGCCGACAGCGTCCACCGTGCCTGAGAATTCGTGGCCCAGGGTGAGGAAACCTTCCTTCTTGCACGGAAATGCTCCCTGAAAAAAGTGTTACTTTTTGGATATATTTTAAGTTAACTGTAAGAGAAAATCAGTCAGGATAACGATGGTGAGCGGTGGAATAAGATATAAACAGAGTGAATGCTTGTATTTCGAACTATACTGTACGAGTGCTGATACAATTCTATCTTTCCTGAAAAACCTAGTCAAGAGGACCCCCTTGACAATATGGCCTTTCTTAGCCTTGAGGCAGAACTATCCCTAGGGGGGGGAAACGCAGCAGAAGACTGCACATGGCCCACTCAAGCCTTCGCTTTTTGGATTTTTCTAACATAACCCTTTGAGCACGATGGCTTCATACACCCCACACACGTTCACAGAATTCTGTAAACGCGATTAATGTAAATATCATTTTTACCAATTTTACCAATGTCGTATTAAAATTTGTAAACATTGGCTAGTTCAACGAACTTTGTAATTTTTTTAAATCGCGAATTTCACTCTCGCGACGCAGAATTTCGCGACTTTTGCCGTCATATTTTTTTTGCAGTGCATTAGAAGTCTCCTCACGATAAACCTATAATAAATATAAATTTCGCCCGCCATTTTGTACAAAGACCGAAAAATATGAAAATCGCTAAGCTAAAAAAGCAAATCAACAATTGACTAACGTTTGTAGTAAAAGAAATATAAAAATATCCCTCGAGCACATTTCATTCGCTACGTTAGTCGCGCTACAGGGTTAAAAATAAGAATCCTCAACTTCGGTACATTCTTATTTCTCAACGAGACATTTTACGAGACAAGTGTCAGGGAGTTCAGCCTCGGCTGAGAGAGAGCTCGAGAATTGTTGTCATGCTTATGGTAATATTCCAATCGGTATAAGGAGATTACATGCATGGGGACGTGTGATCGATAAAGTACAGTGGATAACAGTTGATACCTCGTGTCTCGTGGATATTTATCGAAACGAATATTATGTCACGCGGCTATAATCGCTATCTCTCTGAATACTTGTTGTACGTGTCAAGAATCCACGGAATCCAAAAGCACGTGTGAGTCACGTAACGCGGGATTAAAAGAAAAGAAAAAATTTCCTTTTGCACAACACGCCAAGAAAAGAGATTACTACATAATACCACAGGCGGCGTGCTGCGTCGCATTAAGTTTCCGTTTCGAAACGTAATTTCAGTTAGGGGGGCGAAATGGAATTGCGCGTTTCACGGTGAATGGAAAAATACACGCGATATTTAGCGATTTATATTTTGTCGTTCCAGCAAACCGAACCTGACCGAGGAATGCTCTGTTACTTAAATCGCGAGGATGTTACGGTAACGTAACACGGTTGAATATCATATCACTTCGAGGAAAATAAATAAATACATACCTGAACGTAAGGGTATCCGAATCTTGGAATTCGACTCGAGATTAATATTCATAAAGTAAATAGCGGCTGAGAGGAATTTTAATTGAGATGAAAGAATCATACTGAATGTCTTATTAACCGTGAGTAATAGACGTTTAATTCTTAACAGGATCGTTTGTTTCTTTTTTTCTTTTTTTATAACGAGAAACTATTTTCACATTTGCAGTTAGTAATTTTCTTTATACGGCTGCCAAACGGAAGCACCCTTAACCAAGTTTTTGTTTTAACTTCTATCACCGGTAGGAGAAAACTTTTGCATCGATTGAAATAAAAGAATAATGCAATTTTGGAAATAGAAATTTATTCAAGAACATTCGACCTTCTTTACCGAATAAACATTCCTATGCGATCGATAATTTAACAAATGAAAATCATGCAAGTGAGGACAGCAAAATTCTTTAGTGAATTTTAACTTTCTCTCGTTCGATTAAAAAGAATAATCAATCCTGTAAGTCCAATAATTTCAAAAATTGAAATTATGGACATAGGGACCAGTAGCCTCGAAGATAAAAATCATCTAAAAATCCCAAGCTTTCTGACTAAATTAAAAAAAAAATCACACCTATAGGAGGAATATTTTAAAAAATAAAAATTCCTCGAGCGTACCAAGATCCCCACTTCTCTAATCATATCTGTATTTTCCATTCCGAAAATTATCAAGACTAATCGTTACGTTTATCACCTCTTCTTAAATCGCTACCTGGCACTCAAATATACCTCCATATCTCAACAAATATAAATCTCACACAAAAATCGTTTAAAAGTTTGCATCTAACGGACAATTCAACCCCGATCGTATAATCTCATCTACTCTCCGGTGTAAAACTAATAAACTTGAAAAACACTCTTCTGCGGAAAGCACTTTTTCTCTATTTTCACACGACAAGAAAGGAAAAACCTACCTCCGCACCCTATTTACGTGAAAGAAAAATCGATTCTTCAAAAAAAGAAACAAAGTCTTTTTTCACCGCTGCAAATTTCAGATATCACAAAAGCTACAAAACAGCTGTGTACACGCGAGCGTCATAAACAAGGCGATTTCGCGCCGGTGGACGCGATAACGTGGTCTGTATATTGCAGAAATCGTATCAGCGTCGGACGTACTTCGAGTATGTGAAGATCTGTCCCGCAGATCCCGCAATAAGCGACTTTAATTCGAACATCGTTCGGTCCTGGCTTCGGTATTTCCGCCTTGCGCAACGATAGAGTAAGATTCTTCACGTCGAAACTGAGGAATTCCATGATATCGCCTATGCTGCTATACGTTACACTATGTGAACACACGTTCTCGTATAACTATGGGACAACTGTATCTTTAGCCAACATTTATATATCCGTCTTGCGACATGTTGATGTTTATATATTGGTGCCGTGTGCCGATTATTAATCTCTACATGATGTGCCACGTTGTACAGCAATCAGCCAGATGAGAGGAAACCGAGAAGACGCGCGCGACTATCAATGAGAATTTCGAGCGTTTTCAGAGCAGTTGATGGTGTATAATGAATGTCTAAATTGATTAATACGTTACGTGCCGCGTGTGGATTGATCTCGCGGCTACCAGGACCGTATTTTGTGTAATTTTGCTTTAGCAAACTGTAGAGGGAAAATGGTAATTGGTAGATGCTTGGAGCTTTTTGAAATTTCGGAACGTTAGTCAATATTTGAAGCTTCTTTCTGCGTTTGAATAGCTTTTTCGGTGTGCGGTCGAATTGCGTGATTTTAGTTCAAATATAATATAATATTGTATTTAATAATCCCAAGTGTACGAGATAAAATTATTTTTCAGTGTTACGTTTAATAATATAAAATATACGAAGTAGAATTAAACAGGTGAATTTTTGAAAAGGTGGAATTAATACAGAATGAAGTGAACAATATCGACGATAATTATTAGACGAAGACAGGGATTGAAATTTTAGACGACAAAATAAATTTCAAAGTCAATATGATAATTCTACAATAGGGGAGAGAATTTCCTTTTTTTTATTTCCCAACTCTAGGTCGCTGTTTTATGAATGATAAAAATTGGAAAAACGAGCAGAGTTTGAAACTGTTTCAAACTACGTTCTGCAAAGCTTCTTTACAGGGGATCAAAATTTTAAGCGACAAAATAAACTTCAAAGTCCAACAGAGAGTTTTTGTTTTCATTTCCTAAACTCTATGTTACCGTTTCGCCAATCGATTTCGTACACGATAAAATGACTCTCTTTTTATTCCTATGTAAATAAATTCACCGAGCGGTGTTATTTTTCGTAAAAAATTCATCTCCTATTCATACGAAATGAAACAGTTCGAAGGAGTAAAGTTGCTGGAAAATAAACAGCAGAAGTATAGAACGGTGTAATTACACGAATAATAGAACACACGGGTAAACGTTAATCTGATTTTGACTCGCCACACCTACTGGAAAAGCTTTTCCTCTTTTGTTCCGTGGTCGGTTATTAAAAGGTTGAGGTGATATTCATGAAAGCAGTGATAAATCTTGCTCGCTAAATAGCCACTATTTCAAGCATCTGATAAAACGGCGCTTATATTTAAGCCATGACGTATTTCACTTGTGCTCCAGTTTTTCCGCATAACGAAACATATTCCTCGTTCTATTCCCTCCCCGAGACAAAGCGAGATATTTTCAACGAGCTTTATTTTACATTTCGAAAACCACCAAAAGCATCAAAAATAAAGGAATTTCTGTTAAAATCAAGAACACAATTCTAAACAATTTCTCAACAAACCACCATTTCGTCCATTTACGGAGTAAAACAGAAAAGATTCTCCTATCTGTTACACCGAAAAGTGACCAGAAACAGGTGTTCCCCTAATCGCGTTAACTCCCATTGTCTCCAAGTCGAACCTTCCTTTCCTCCCTTTCAAGCTCATCCATGCAAAACTCGAAGAATTCGTAAGGTTGGTAAAAGTCAGAGAGGCCGAGAAGGGAGGACAGGTGAAATGACGAGCAGCTGAAACGATCCGGGAAAGGTATTCGTCACGCGTATCAATTGCCTCGTGAAATTTCTACCGCTCGTAAATTCCCATCGAGAGACGAAAGAAAAGCTTCTTCCCTTTACGAGAAAAGAAGAGAACTGTACAATGTACCTTGGCGAAACTGGACAGTCCCCGGAGAGGATGGAATACCTGTGTGTTCGATTGTGGACGTTTCCTCGTGTACCTGAGACCGACACACCTGAACCACTTCGCCGGGAAATAGTTGTTCCAGCAGGTACGATACGCGATTCATGGTGTAAATTTCACCGGACAATCGACTTCGTTAACAGGTAAACCCTCAAATACCTGACCTGACACCAACACCTTGAATGAGCTTAAAAACGCAGGCGTGTAGACGTTGATTTCGCAGCCCTGTGCAGTTGTGATGTAACAGACGGTTGGAACGGACAGTTCTTTTTATTTTATTATAGACGAGATAATCGAGGCGTTGATCAAATCTCCAACGTGCACGATTTTACTGAAAATATATATATTTTCATTTCAATTTTAACGTGACAATTTTCATTTTAATACGAAAATTTCAATGCAATATTCTAATTTTAATTTTAACACGATATTCTCATTTTCATTTTAATACGATTCAGCGCTTTCGATACAGTTTGACCATCGTGAAAACGAAATTATTATTACGCTTACTTTTCGTTTGACAGAGTTACGCGTGAAAATCAAATAACGTTTCAACGTTATTTCAATTTTTGGAATTTGCACGTCACACGTTGATTGATTTATTTTTCGGTAATTGTTTTTTTATTTTCGTACTGCTGCTGCAAGTAATTACGTTCGTGTCGTATTCTGATTTGTTATCTATCGTATCATCGATTATGTATCACAGGTTTCCGTTTTGAAATTTTATAAATTACATAAATCTCGCCGACACGTCGATCAATTCTGATTACGCTATCGACACCTCAGATCTATCTGAAAGCAATTCATCACTGGTTATTTAATAACTTCATTCTACGGGACACAGCTCATTTATACGAATCAACCAAGGGATTTTTCGAAATTATCGCGTATTCTGTATTTATTACATTTGCTGTTTTATTATATTCCACCGTTGCAGCTACTACGTGAACGATTTAAATTATAAATTGCACGACGCGGCTTTACTGTTAAAACAGGCCAAGAAAATATTCGTCGTTTCTCAGAAATTTCATTTAAACTTCGTTTCAACTGTAATAAAAGTGTCTTTTATTCCTTACGTAAAGGAGTCATTTTTATGCTTTTCACTGTAAAGCAAAAATACCCTAAGACGATGTACGAGTTTTCAGAAATGAAGTTTGAACTTCCTGTTCAACTGTAATAAAAAATTTAGTTTGAAACAAATCCCTTATTTTTCACGTAATGCAGCAATTTTTCTATATTTTTCACCATAAAGTAAAAGCACACTAAGAAAATACGTACGATTTTTAAAAGTTTACTTTCAAATTCTTTACTTTCCAAGTTTCTTTAACCGAACCCCAACGTCGCCCAAATTTCTCCAGACTCAAATACCAAAAAATTCCCCCGAAATCTAAAATTTCCAACACCCATCGATTCGCGAATTTCGCTACGGTCCTGCGAGGGATGTTTCGTTTAATTTACAGCACGACGGCTGTAAATCTCTCTCTGGAAAGTGATCCCGGTGCACAAAGAGCATCGCATTACAATGTAGAACCGGGTATCGAAGGTTCACTTTTGAAAGTGAGACCCTTCGAAACGATTAGCTCCTACAGCGTCGCGCATTTTCATTCTCCTCCTACGTTTTCCCTCTCGAAAATCACTCTTACTATACCTACCTGCACATTTGAAAATATTCTACATTATCGAGAAAAGAAAGAAAGATCACGCCGAAAGGCGTTGAATAATCGAGAATACAACTCAACGCTCCGTACGTAAGGCTGACAAACTCGCTTCTCCCTTATCAGCTGGAAGATTAATAAAAATAAACGTACGTAGGTTTCGGTGGAAAGAAAGAGATACCAGATGAAACCAGCAGACAAATTCTGTTTGCTCGCGTAAAATGGTTGTGAAAGAACTCTTTCGAGGGGGTAATTAAACATGCCGTAATTAAATGTGTACAGTGCTCTATTAATACGTAATTAAACAGAAACGCGTTTCACTCGGTGAGAAGTGTACTTGTTTCAACGGTGTCTGTATGTACCTATGTGTGTGCAGGCAATTACGCGTTTTATAACAAGTTAATAAAGAGAGTGTAGGTATTAGATTGGCCAGCTTCAGCGAGAACAATACACGCTACCGGCTAAAAGTTTCCAATCACCTGCCAATTTACGCGTATACCGAATCCCGCTGTTGATATTTTCTACATATAAAATTGACGTTGCAGGGATCGATGGTAATGGAGAAAAAAATGATTCGTTGAAATTGGTAACATTTGTGTGAAAAATTTTCGCGCAACTTGCGTCGCACCTGTGACAGTAAACTTTTGACCGGTAGTGTAGGTAACGAATAGAGGGAAATTGATTAAGGTTGCACGCGGAACAATCTGCGCGGGAAAAGATTGCTCGTTCTCGATCAACCGGGAACCCACTTGGACAAACATCGACGAAGAAAGAAGAGTTACGAGGTAGTTTTCACCTTCGCGACTTTACGCGAACGCGAGAATTCTACGTGGATAGTTTATGTACCTGATCGATTCTGAAAATTCTGAAAGCAGAGTACAGTAAACTTAAAATTATTCCAAAATTCTCTATTTCTGTCATTTATTTCTACGTCGAATTGTATAAAATTTTTCGCAAATTCACCTATTGGCGCTCTTTCCTTTTTTCAGCTTCCAATAACAATTATTACTGCTATTCTGCCTATAAGCAGATATTTCGAGAGAATCCATGCAATGATAATTCATTTCCGTGATTTCTGCATCAAATCATGTGAAATTCGTCACAAATTCGCCTATTCTATAATAATAACAATAATTATTATTGTCATTCTTCCTACAAGTAGACATCGCCGAGAGAATCCACGCAGCGAAATTTGAATAACAACACCAAAATTTCCCCAATTTTATTCACACGGCGAAATACGTAACCCACAATCCTCTAAACTTCCATTTCCCACTTTTGCCTTCGAAACTTTCATCCAACTCTCGTCGCGACTAACCCAATTCATACGCTGTCCACGTTCGCTCAATGGAAGCCGCATTTCCCTCGATACCGCGTCGAAATATAATTCCCGATGTTACAGAAATCCTCCAGCTCCGATAATAATCCAACTGCAATCCAACGTGAACCATTCTTGCCCTCACACCAGTGTGTACGTACCTGTGATTCGTATATTTAAAAATCG